AAACTGGACATGGCTAAAGCGTATGATAGGGTCTCTTGGTCGTATATATGCTTGGTGTTGAGAAAAATGGGATTTCATGAGATCTTTATCGATATGGTTTGGAGGATCATGGCTAACAATTGGTATTCTATTATTGTCAATGACAAAAGACATGGTTTCTTTCACTCCACCAGAGGATTAAAGCAAGGCGATCCTCTATCTCCTGCCCTATTTATTTTAGGTGCAGAGGTATTTTCAAGATCCCTGAACAGACTTCATAGCAACCCTGACTATCATGGTTTCGTTATGGAACCCAGAGGTCCTCAAGTTAATCATTTAAGTTTCGCTGATGACATCATTCTCTTCACTTCGGAAAGACAAAAAACTCTGAAACTCATTATGCAAACCCTGAATTCATCTGAAGAGACCTCCGGCCAACTTGTTAATACAGATAAAAGTCATTTTATGATCCATCCTAATGCTTTCAACAGCACCAGAGATAGGATCAAAAGAATCACTGGCTTCAGACAAAAAGGAGGGCCCTATCACTTACCTTGGCTGCCCTTTATTTGTTGGTAGACCTAGGATTATTTATTTCTCTGATCTTATTAACAAAGTGTTATGCAGAATCACAGGTTGGCACACAAAATTGTTAAGCTATAGTGGTAGACCAATTCTTGTCAAGCATATGTTGCAATCTCTACCTATTCACCTTCTATCAGCAATAACCCCCTCTAGTACTGTCCTCAAATAGACCCAGAGCATCATGGCAGATTTCTTTTGGGGATGGAGGAATGAGAGGAAAAAATACCATTGGGCGTCGTGGAAAAACTTAAGCTTTCCATATGATGAGGGGGGTGTAGGTATGAGGAATCTCAAGGATGTATGCATGGCCTTCCAATATAAACAATGGTGGATTTTCAGATCCAAACATACCCTTTGGGGAGATTTTTTGAAGGCCAAGTATTGTGAAAAGGTCTAATCCTATTAGTAAGAAATGGGATTCAGGAGAGTCATTAACCTGGAAACACATGATGCACAACAAACATAAGGTTGAAGAACATATTTAATGGAAGCTCAACTCAGGCACTTGTTCTTTTTGGTGGGACAATTGGCTTGGTGTTGGACCTCTCGTCTGTCATTCCACTGGCAGTAACAGGTTCAATCAGACCACTGTGGCAGAATTTTGGCTCGAGGGACAATGGAACCTGAACATGCTCCTGCAACAGGCCCCTAGCAGCCAGCTTAACAACATCTTATCCACAGAACTCTGCATCCAGCAGGACATCCCAGACCAAGCTATTTGGAAATCTAACAGTGATGGCAAATTCAGCTGCTCTTCTGCATGGAATGAGATCAGGGAGAAGAGGACCAAGACGATGTTCAATACATTCATTTGGCATAAGAGTATCCCTTTTAAATCTTCTTTCCTTCTGTGGAGAACTTTACGTGGTAAACTGCCTACTAACAACAAACTAATTAGCTTTGGCAATGAGCCTACAAATTGTTTTTGTGTAGTTACAGGCCAGGGCTGGACAACATTGAACACATCTTCAACAATGGACACTTTGCTACCTACGTGTGGAAAGGTTTTGCTGCTGCTGCTGGAATCATACCAGATCACAGCTCACTGTCTCAGCTCATAGTGCAGTGGTGGTCAGCTAAGTACAACAATGCAGCACACAAGCTACTGCTACAAGCTACACCAATATTCATTTGTTGGAACCTTTGGAAGAATCGTTGCGCTAATAAATATGGAGGCAAATCGTCCAATGTTAGTAGAGTCAAATATGCCATCTACAAAGACAACTACAAACTAATGCACACAAATTTCCCCCAAATCAAATGGCCTTCAAACTGGAAGGAATTGTTTCAGCTGGGTGCAAGTTGTACTCATGACACCAAAGTGACTCTCGTCAAGTGGATAAAACCTCCAACTCGATGGGTCAAAATCAACACGGATGGCAGTGCATTAAGCAACCCCGGCAGAATTGGAGCAGGTGGTATCTTAAGGGATCAAGATGGAGAAATGCTCTTAGCTTTTGCTACACCTTTGGGGGAAGGCATCAATAACCAGGCTGAAATAGGAGCAGCCATATTTGGCATGACATGGGTACTTCAACTAGGCTACAAGAAGGTTCTCTTAGAGGTGGACTCGCAGCTACTGGTGGACTGGATTAGGCTGAAAGCCAGACCTCCATGGCGGATTAGTACACAACTACAACAGCTCCAACAACTCATCAGACAAACACACAAGTTCTGATGCAAACACACCTTCCGGGAAGCCAATTATGTGGCTGATTCCCTCTCAAAGCAAAGTCACAAAATCACATGTCCACAAATATATTGTAACAATCAACAATTACAAAAAGAAGCAAGAGCATATTATAAATTGGACATGATTGAGATGGCAAGTTTCAAAAGAAGGAAAATCAAGAGGATCAAAAAACCACCTTGAGTGGGTTCTAATCTGTTCAACCTAGCTATGGTTCAAAAGCATAGCTCTTTTGAATAGGTATAGCATAGTTTTGTTGATGTAAAGGGAGAGTCTCCCTTATTTACGATTCCTAGTATTCTTTGTATTGAGAGGAGTCCTCTCTTAGGTGCATAGTTTCTTGGTTCACCTTTTTTGTACAGGGATGAATTGACTAACCTTTA